ATATGTAAAAATGTGTTTTAAATTCCATCCAAATCTCCTACTAACCTACAGTCGTATATAGGCGTCTAAAATTGTTTAAGACCTTGCACGGTGTAAGTTGTACGTCTTATAAAAATATATCTATAACTCGTTTAATGTTTAYACCACTATGGAGTATGGTTTGTTTGTATGTATGTATTTTTTTAAATAAAATAAATACGTTCTTCTCGCAGAACCAACAGGACATCAAGTCGCTGCTTCAACAACAGCAACAGCCGCTGGCCAGTCCTCACCACCACCACCACCACTTCTCGTTGTACCCCGAGTTCCAGTTGACCGGCAGGAACGCCGTGGCCGTTGCCGCCGCGGCCGAGTCGTTGGCGGACAAGCAGCACGCGGCGGTCGCCGCCGCGGACACGGTGTCCTCGCACAACCTGGCGTTCCATATCGAGAACCTGATACAGAAGAAGCACCGCAGCGCCGAGATGTCACAGGAAGAGATCGTGTCGTCCAGCGGCGTGCACAACAACAACAACGATCTGCAGCAATACGCGGCCGGCGACGACCACCAACACCACAATCACCGCCACCACCAGCCGCCGTTGGCGCAGCACGCGGTCGAGTCCAAGCCCAAATTGATAATCATCAACGACGAGGACGACAGCAACGTCAGTGGCGGCAGTGGCGGGAGACGCTGCTAAGTCGCCGCCGCGACCGTCACGCACACAATCAATAATCGTAATATTATTATTATAACGCGTCGAGATAATATTATAATATATCGAAATGTAAGACGAGTACATTTTGCACGCTCGCACTCGACGTAAAGTCAGCCGTTTACTCGTGTGCCCGCGTGTGTGTTATAGTAAAAGTATATACCTACGTATATGAAATATATATACCTACTTACCGGTTACCGAGTATATGACGATGATATTATTATACTTGCAGCGCGACGAAGTAGGTAACCTGCCTACCCCTTCGACCGACAGTGTGTGCGCGCGCGTGTTTGAGTGTAGGTACGAGTTGTGTTCTTCACGACGCACTAGCGTATATATAGAAACGCAGCATCGCCCGAACGAGAGTATTAATTTCATTTTCGAAAATATACAAAACTTGTACATATCTATAATTACCTATCTATATTATATGATTATTATTATATTATTATAATTACTGTGCTACTATAATAATTGTTTGCTTTTTTATTTTTTTGTTTTTTGACAATTTTATATTATTTTCAACACGACGACGGTTCTATTATGTTTGCAGACTTACAGTRCCTACCTATTGTACCAACCGCGATTTAAAATAACTATTTATTGCCTTTAATCGTGGTACCTACCTACATGGCTATACATGTATACATAATGTACAGTTGAGTCTCAATCATAGGCGCAAATAGAGGGGGCTAAGAGGGTATAAGCACAGAATAGATTAAATGGTATAAGCACCCCAAATAATGTTCGTGTTTATGTATCAAAAACTTTTCCTTACAAAAAAATAAAAACAAAAATGAGAAATTACATGGCTTAAATATCCTTAGTCTCAATAACTCGAATCTCTAGAGGTATAAAAATAATTTTGAATTGTATATTCTGCTAGATGTATAGGTACATAGGCGGCACTTGGTAGAAACTTATGTGGGTGCAAACGTTTATGGTAATAACATTCACAAATCCATAGGGAAGTTGCCCCCCAGTACCCCCTAATATATAACTATTACTACAACAAATTTAGTTCAAAAAAATCTTTATAAATAACTATTAATTAGGTCTCTGTATTTCAAATATGTACATGAATATGTAAAAATATTATTAAAAAAACAACTTTTTATTTTGACATAAACAATATGATCTATTTTGAACCATATCGTTATCTAGTGACGAATTAGCTTCCTGCATTATTTAATTATTATTATTATTTTAACATTTAATCACGGACTAAGATTTTAGTCCGTACAATTAATAATTGAGTAATCAGATATAAAATATTGAAATGATCCATGGTTACTTTTTACTATMAAAATTACATTATATCAGTATAATTGTTAACAATAAAATAATTAAATTATTTTTTAGTGTTGTGATTGTCTGTGTGTGGGTGCAAAATGATACTTTTTCCCCCACCCACCCAGAAAAATTGTCGTGGATGCCGGTTGCATCCTCATGCCCCACCTAGATGGCACCTACGTATAGGTACTTSAAACAAAACTTGAAAAAAATTCAGAAGGCATGAAAAAAATTTGATTTATTGAGGTTTTTTATTTATAAATTTTTATCAAATTCACTATCTCAGGGGTCTCAGACTAGAAAAAAATTATCATCACCGTCCGTTATCGTGTGTACGTGTAATTTATCACCTATATCATAATATTGAATAACTAATTATACTTAAGCATATTATAAGCACAATTTTTTCTTTAATATTCATAAACATAGATTTCAATGAAATTAAAAATTATGTGTGTATATGCTTTTGGCCCACTAAGAGCATTTAATTAATTTCTGTGACCCTTTATAAAAAAAAAATTAGATTCCCTTGCAAAATATACTATTATATTTATTAGGTAAGTATGTAATAAATAAATAAATAAATAAACAAATAATTACAATAAATCATAAAGAAAAATGTGGTCCATGTTTTGTCAGTTTCTTATTTATAATATTTTGATTTTATAATATTAGTAACTACTTAAAATTAAAAATATTTAAAAAAGATAATTTTGGGACGTATTCTTGAAAAATAATAWAATTTTTAATTTTTATGATACCTCAGGAATGGATAACAACTTTAATATTATAATATTGTAATCATTATGAATTAATTTATAATCTTAAATTACGAATTAAGTAAGTAAATACTAAGAGATTTTTAAGTATACTGTATACTTAAGAAAAAAAGATGATACTGGTGTGGTGACCTCTTAGTATTCAAGTATTATTWTTTTTTTTTAAATTAGATTATTTAGATAAATAGCTGTATACTATATATTACAGAATAGGTAGGTACTATTTTCGGATCTATTTGCCTATACAATTGGTATGAACCCTATAAAATACATGACGATCATGTCGCGCTGGAATAATTATGTGAATAAGATTCTATACCCGTTACTTAGCTTCTTTGAAAATAATAATAATAAAAATAATATTATACCTTCTTGCACTCTATAGTAGTTTAGTCAGAGGGAAGGGTTTGAGTATTTAACTCAAACTTTACATTATATCCCCTATCCTTATTTATTATTTATAAATAAAAACTGTATAAAACTTGGTTCAATTTGTACTTAACCATCCCACTCACTATTTTATTATCTTGGCTACGTCACTGACTATCTGTTTAATAAATTAACACCTATTAGATATGTCCACAGATATAAAGAAGTATTTATATAAATGTTGCAATGTACAATATTCTATTTATTTTTGATTTATTTGCATATAAAACTATCAAAATATATTCTAAAAGCTATATGTCAGGGGTCAGTAGGTCACCAGGTAATATTTTTGAAGGGCTACATTAGAAATCTGAAAATTAATCGCTAGAATTGCTACAATCTGGAGAAACCAGTGAACAGAAATGATACAATACAACAACAAATTACTCTGGAATGTGAAATATCGGGTTTTTTCTTATTTGACTGCCATTTGGTGACCCCTGCTGTAGGTACTTATTCAGATATACATAAAACTACAGAAATTAYGATTTAACAAATCCTTAATTTTATTATTATTATAAGGTGTGTTCATTTTTCACATAASMTATACTAATATCGGATGGTTGTATTTAACATTTATTTGAAATATAGGTATTGACTTCAATATTGTACGTACACTATCTACTATCCAGCAATGTAGATTTAAAAAAATAGTAATTAGATTGCTCATTTCATATTTTTTATTTTAATAATAATATACTAATATAATACACAATCTGTACAAATTTATACACAGAAAGTATATCTGATAAAGAAGAAAAACATAAACAAAAGATACATGATTCTGTAGAAACCAAATTTATAATAAACAAAAAATTATAAAATCAATGACTAGCTTAAATTTGTGCAAATTCATTAAAATATATGAAAATCATTGCTTACATTTAAACTTGGTTTAAAATAAATAAATACTATTAGTATATATTTACATAAATATGAACATAAATACAGAATATATGTGTATAAGTACATTTTCTCAAATAAAGATTCTTACTTCCTTGTTTGTACTAACATGATATTAGTTGATGACAAARGACAATTAAAATAAATACATGGTATTTTAAAAGATATCTTTAAATATTATAAAATCTTTCAATTTGTATCACACATAATTTTTCAAAATAGATCATCAAATAAATGGAGCGCAGCAGATATTCTGCAATAATTTATAATTCATGAGAAAAATGCATTCAAATTTAAAAGTTATACCTACGTGGTTCATTATTGTGAGTATGMAATTTCAAACAATCTGTTTTACATGTACGTAAAATAGAAAAATTATATTTACCTTAATTAATTTTAACATTATCGTGAATGGTAAATTTCAGTTTGATGATAGATAATATCATCAAATTTAGAGGTGACAAACTGACAACATTATTAATACTAATTAGATATTGTAAACTTMAACACATGAAAAATATGTAAATTAAAATAGATTTAAAAATAATCAAAATAAAATATTAAAAAAGAACTACCATGGCACCATCATAAGATTGCTAATATTGTCACCTAAATTTTAAATCTAAATACTGGATTAAATTTACACTAATACTAAATAAATTGTAAAACAACTGATAAATATGTTGGAAAATATTTTAATTTTTTTTTTTTTTAAATTATTGACACTAATTCTAAAATAAATTATCAATAATCAAATCTAAATTCTTTGTAGGATGGATCGAATGATTGTACCCTAATGAAACCATCCTCTCCACCTGTACTGAAACTTTCACCATCTGGATGGAATGCTAATGAATTTATTGGACCGAAATGACCTTTAACTCTAGCAAATTCTTCTTCAAAAATAACATGAAAGAATCTAGCATCAAATTTTCCTGCTTGTGCTGCTGTTGTTGTTACATCCATAGCATCTTGACCACCACCCAATACCACCTTAAAAAACAACATTGTTAAATTTTAATGTAAAACATAACAAATTTTATAAAATATAAACTAACATGATCATATATAGGTGAAAGTGAAGCACTGTTAACAGGACGTTCAGTTACATAGACTTTGTGGRCTGACAAATCATCAACATCAAATAACTTTGAGGTTTTGTCTTTTGACGCAGTAACAAACATAGTACCTTGTCGATTTTTTTGCATGTCGTTGATTGATCCTTGATGGTCTTTTACRGTTTCTATGCTTTTACCAGTCTAAAATAAATATAACATAATATAATATGCTTATACTCAACCAAGTCTTAATAACTTAAAAAACACAAAATTTAAAATTGTTTCTTGTTCTTTGAAAGTTATAATACAGTTATGAAAATTTGAAAAATAAATATGTCAAATATATTAATATCCCCCTTGAGATTCAAATTATAGAGACATGACTGTATTATATAATACACAAAAACCTATTTTAACAGATATTTATAAAATAACAGAAGTGTCCATTATACAAAGGTATATGTTGTAGATAGGCTTTAGTATAATTTTAGTTCAAGTCACATACATATCGATAATATTTTACTTTTGTTAAAAAAAAGTCAATAGTAA